GGGGCCCATAGATCTAATTTATCAACAATAATAATTTGTGCTTAACAATATCGAATTCTTCAGCATGTTTAGGAAATATGTGGTAGAAATTGTTTCTAACCAATGATAAATATTCGTTTGTTTCAAAAGTTTTGTCCGTTTTAATGCCACATGTTTTTGTACCTTCATATCTCAACAAATATGTATGCTACTTTGTCGTAGTATATACTGATCGATAGATAATTTTGTACTCTATACACTGAAGCTGTTCATTTTTTCCAAATTAAATTTTTTTTGCCTCTTTTCAACGTATTACTACATGATGTAGGTAAGCGATTTTCGGCCAATTTTTTTATGTTATGGAAAATGATTCTGGTTTGCTTATAGACTGATCGAGTTAGGGGGATTTTATACTTATCAAGCCTAATCGGTCCCAAAATCTCTTTATATTTGCAGAAAAAAGAATAATTCGAAAAGCAAGAATTTAAATTGGCCCCGTGTCTGTTGACCAATAAAATTGATCGTGTCTAGAGCGGAGTTGCCAAGTGTGTTGGTTTTTAATATCCAATCACAGATCTGATGATCCAATTTGACAGACGATTTAAAAAGTGACTATAAATGAAAGGGGGACGAAAATATAACGCTTGAATTTAGTAGCTACAGTAGAAAGAGGTATGTATATAGGAATCGTTTTTTTAATAATAAATTGCACTTATACAGATTGAGGGTTGTATAATAAATTCAATATTTAAAATGATTTTCTAATCCAGTTTGCTATATTTTTTCATTTTCATAACTGTATATTATTAAATAATGCGTAAAATTATAGTTTAGGTAAATATTTTGTAATCTATTGACTTTGTGTACTGATTTTAGATATAGAACTTATTTGCAAACATGATTTTTCGTGTACATTTTATTCCATGTGGAGACTTTTTCATTAATTGAAACGTTAACGGGCCATATACACTTCCATAATTGAATTGATAATTATATGCTTCGTAAATTTTACGATTTGGCAATGTTGATTATTTCTATTGTTCCTAGGGGCGTGACGTCATCACCCTACTACATTCGATTTTTAATAATTAATTACGGAAAAACAACGGTACTTAGAGAGATGAAACAAAGTTTTTCATTTTAAAATTTCTATCAAGTGGACTATAAACCAAAAATCATGGAACAAGCCCATTCAAATTGAACCAAAACGCTGCCGAAACAGTCCGAAAAATAAACCAAGCATTTGGCAATGATAGTGTTGATGAACGAAATGTTCGACGTTGGTTTGCGAATTTTCATTCTTGAGATTTTAGTCTCGAAGTGGTCGACCTTCAGTAATTCAAGACGATGATTTGAGGACCCTGGTGGAGACTGACCCATCACAAACGGTGCGTGGTATGGAGGAAGAATTGGGCGTCAGCTCCCATGCAGTTTTTGATAGTTTGAGACATATTGGCAAGGTCGAAAACTGGGTGCCCCATGATTTGAACGATCGAGAGAAATTATAATGTTAGAGAACTGTTCTTTTCTGCTTTTGCGCAACCAAACAACCCTTTTTTAATGGGATCATCAGGTGTGATAAAAACTGGATCCTCTACGACAAATGGAGAAGTTTAGGACATTGGTTGGATACTGATGTGCCACCCAGGCACTTTCAAAGGCAAAAACCCCGGTCAGCGGCTGGTGTGATTCACTATAACTTCCTCTGCAATCGGGCCAAATCATCATAGCACAGTCCTAGTATTAGATTGTTTTTGCTTGGTCCTGATTGGCGGAGGTTCTACCGGCTAGAAAGTTATCGAAGTGCTTGAAAAGATGATAGTCGTTTGGCGAGAGGTCTAGGAAGTTTGATGGGTGGGCAGAACTTCAACGCTCAATTAATTTAATTTTCGGATGGTGATTTGTGAAACGTACGGACGGGCGTTGTCGTGGAGGATTGGACCTCTTCTGCTGATCAGTGCAGGCTGCTGTTGAAGCCAATTTTCGGTATTTTTCGTGGATTTCCTGACAATAGGACTGAGCTGTGATGGTTTGGCCCGGTTGCAGAGAAAGTTATAGTGAATCACACAATCCGCTGACCACCATACAGTAACCATGGTCTTTTTAGGTGGGGTTTCGCCTTTGGAAAGTGCCTGTGGGTGGCTCATCGATGTCCAACCACTGTTCTGAACGTCTCCTGTTGTCGTAAAGAATCAACTTTTCATTACACGTGAAGATCCGACCCAAAAATAATAGTTTCTGTTGCACGAAAACAAAGAAGATCAGAACTCAAAAAGTGACACTTTCCTTCGATCGTTTAAATCGTGAAGCACCCACTTTTCAAGCTTTTTGAGCTTTCCAATACTTTTTAAACCATCAAAAACCGCATAGGAGTTCTTCTACCATTTCACGCACTATTTGTGATGGGCCAGTCTCTCCAATGTTACACAAATCCTCGTCCTGGATTACTGTAGGTCGACCACTTCAGGGCTCATCTTCAAGGCTAAAATCTCCGGAACGAAATATCGCAAATCAACACTATCATTGCCAAATGCCTAGTTAATTTTTCGGACTGTTTCAGCAGTGCTTTGGTTCAATTTGAGTTCGTAGAGAAAAATTGGCCGAAAATCACTTACCTACATCATATAGTAATAAGCTGAAAAGAGGCAAAAAATTAAAATTCGGAAACAAAATTCTTTATCGATCACTATATACTACGACTCAGTAGAATAAATATTTATTGAGATATCGAGCTACAAAAACACACGACAAAACGGACAAAACTTTTGAAACTACCTAATATTATTTGTAAGCTGACAAATGGCATCTTATATGATTTGTTTTTCTGGGTAATTCTCATTTGGTATGTTTAATATTTTATCGTATATGTCGGTAAGCTCTATAAAAATGTTGATGTTGATCAATCATTAGAAAAAAATCAATCTAAAGTTTGGGTAACGATTTTCTGAATTCACTGTCATTTTTATCTGATTTTGAATAATACTTGCTCAGTAGAAAAAAATAGAAAAAATACAAGAAAAACATGAAGAAAATACTTCAGATTATTTAGAAAACCCTAGTTTGTTGTTACACATATTTCCTATTAATATAGGTACATTATAACTTACAATTTCTACCAACGACTTCATACTTACATGCTGGGACAGGCGGACAATAGTGATCCTTGCAGCTGACTTCAACTAGTTGACACTCTTCTCCGTCACCGCAATCAATAGTATTGCAAGGATCTCTGCATTGGCATTGAGGACATCTTGTATCTTCATTGAGGATGAAACCATACTCGCAACCCATTCTACAAGTCAAGTCCAAACAGTCCAGAGACTCTCTAAGTTCGGTACAGTTCGTAGAGGTGTTACCTGGAGCTCTAGTCCTGGGGATTTCGGTTCCAAAGTTGTCTACACACCAACATTCTCCTTCGGAGCATTGTGTTGCTATGTAATTGCCGTTCATATCACACGCAGGGGTTGGCAACGCCAAGGTCATGCCATCTCTTGTGCCTTCCATGCTCTCGGAAAATTCGTGTAAGTATTCACACACTGAAAAACGATGAATTGATTTTGTTGTTTGAAATTTTTGACGACGTGGCAGAAAAACCCGAAAAAGCGACACAAAACTTGCTGTCGAAAAAATATGGAGAAGTCTACGACAGAGAAAATGATAAATTACTAAACTGCATGACTGTATGGAGTGGGAAAAAGAAACTCATGTTTTCAAACTGAATGATGAAAACCACATTTCAATATCTATCACCGTTTCTTGAGTTACAGCATGTTTTTCGAGAATGTGCATTTTACAAAAGTTGCTGTAACTTTTTTCCCGCCAAAAATTTCTTGCTTCTATGAAAACATTTCCAACGCACTATACAATGGTGTAAAAACTTATTTTTTCAAACGAGATATCAATGGTTATTGATGAAAAACTATTTTTTAATGAGACAACCTGTATATTCCTGCACATTTCAATAGAACTTAAAATTAGTAGCAAGCAGTTTGTATCACGAGAAGTATCCAGAGAGAAGGCAACCTTTTAGAGACATTTTTCCAAAACGTCAACGCGAAATTTGAAAATATCAACAGGCCTACCAAGAACTAACGTTAGAGGGATTTTGAAGAAACACAAATTCAACCCATACAGGACCAGAAGAGTTCATCAACTCTGACTAGGAGGTTTTCAAAGCCGAATGGCTTAAAGTGCGTGATTTTTCATTAAATTGTATTCGGTCAGACGAAGCTTATGTGAGCAGTGCCGTCATTTTCAACCGCTACAATTCTTATACTTGGGCACAACAAAATCCTCATTCTATTGTAGACCAGGAAAGTCAAAGAAGATTTGGATTTAGTGTGTGGGTAGGTGTCTTCAGGGGTAGAATTATCGGCCCGTTCATTTATAATGGCACTCTCACATCTCAGAGGTGTTTAGAAATTTCAAGGCAAAATATTTAACCCCTTGTTGATGAATTGCCACTGATGAAGCTCAGAAAAACTATATTTTCAACAAGACGGGGCTCCGCCTAACAACACTGCCATTGTCACCAATTTTTTGGCGGCTAATTTTGGTAATAATTGGATAACCAACCAAGGAGTCAACCGTTGGTCGGCCTGGTCACCGGACCTAACGCCTATGGAAGGGGAAAGGTTGAAAGATATTATTTTTATATTGCCGACCAATTCTAGATACGAATTGGAAGCGGCAGTGATGCAAATTGTTGCTTCTTTAACTCCTATTGAATTAAGCAAAAAAAGAAATATATTTCACTTTGAAAGTTTTTTTGGGATGTTTTCATAGAAACAAGAGATTTTTGACAGGAAAAAACTTATTGCACATTTTCGAAAAACATCCTATACCGAATGTTTAGATGATAGATGTCGATATGCGGTTTTCACCATTTAGTCTGCCATAAAATCTGACCCTCAGACACAGCCATCAGTTTTCATCTAACTAGTTGAGTTCCCCTTTGAAAGTGTCCAATTTTGCCCACTCTGTACACTATGTCGAATGTTTTATGTGCTGCTTTATATTTTTTTATTATATTTCACCGAAACATTTTTCCAAGTTCCTTACGGTCTAAATATTAAATATTAAATTAGGCTACATTAGCAAATAAGAATAATTTGACTTTCGGATTCTGTGGCTTTTATCGTTTATTTCTGTATCGATGATAAAGTATTATTGATTTTACTCTGAAAATACGAATCATCACGAAGCACTTTTCACCATTCATCTTGGGTGGTGAAAGGGTCTCGAAAGAAGTTTCAGCAATCTGGTTTCGGCTGCATTGTGTTTGTGTTGGAAAGTGTGCAACAAGAAGGATGAGTACTTACTAGTTTGAGGTCTCATCTCCATTTGACTGTAATCTTCGGAAGCTTCGGCGTCGAGTTCTCCTTCAAGAATGGGACAGCAAACTGCTTGCGTAGATCCTGCAACCGCTGTACATTCATGGGTAGGTGGGCATACTATTCCATTCTCAGATCTCAGAGCGCATGCTACTGGAGCACCTCTCAAGTCATCTGTTAATGGAGTTCCACTTTCACAGGGATTGGCATATACTGCTTTTGGTCGACCTGAAAAAAAATACACTGAAGTAGTACCTAAATATCATGTACCTTTCGTTAGAACGGATTCAAAAGGTAAGACCTTGTCAATCCTTACGACAATTTGTGAACGGAAAACCCCGTTTTTTCCATTTTTCAAATAGTGATAATGTTCACTTACAAACTGGCAGGGATGGGCACAAGAAGTCAGTGCATGAAGATTCCTTAACGTTGACACATTCCTCATCTTCAGGGCACATGTATCCATCACACGGGTCGTCACATTTACAGGTATGACATCCATCTTCATCTAACTTGAAGCCATATTCACAAATTTGTGCACATTCCAGCTGTTCACATTCCCTTCCATGTTTGTCCAAACTTCTTGCGGCTGATTCCAAGCGGGCTAATATCCTGCTCTCAACAGCTAATATAGCACATATAATGAAAGTAATCTATCAGTAAATTGCGAATTATGTGATCAAGAGACGGGTGTACATAGATAGTGAAAATAATGATCAAATTGAAGGGTATGTTTTTTAGAAGAGGAACAACTTCGAAAGTTCCACACATTCTTTGAATAAAAATGTAGAAGTAACAAGCAAAAAGTTTTTTTCCAAAAGCTAATCTCTCCTAAAAGATATATTCCTTTCATTTTAAATAAGATTCCTACAGCTGGGATTGAATCAAATAAGCATATACATGTCTATACATACTGCCATCGTGACATGAGTAGATTTGTCGGTCCCGGTGATATAAAGTCGTAATGTTATGTCGTAAATCATATGAGTGTTTCGCCTTGTAATATCCAAAAAGGTGCTGATGAGGTGATAAGATAGGTGTCTCATTTTGAAACTTCTAAGTACGCCATTGAGGATGACAGTGTCCCATGTAAGTGAAATAAATATCGTTTGTTTGAAGGTGGTTGACAATGTTTCGTGGTGCATGTCATTAGTTCGGACTACCATTGTCTAATATGATATAAATTGATTTGAAATCCCTGAAATAATCTATAAAAAATTAAAAAGATTAGCTGAAAAATAACAATTATATTGAGCAAAAAAAATGCAGAACTAGACACCTTCCTAAAGCACATCAACAACGTAAGTCTTTCCATCACTTTCACAATGGAGAAGGAAGTCCACAACGAATTGCCATTCTTAGACGTATTGGTGAAGAGGACCGATACTAAATGGGAAACATCTGTATACCGAAAACCCACGCACACAGGACAGTTTCTGAATCAGGAATCCAACCACCATCAATCGACTAAGAAAGGAATCATTAAGACTCTAGTGGAACGTGCTTTCGGGCTCTGTAATACAAAGGAAGGTCTCGAAAAGGAACTAGGCATTATCAAAAATGACCTTCAACGGAATGGTTACGCCAAAGGGATGGTGGAACAGACTTTGGCTAGAAGACAGCAACAGCCTCACAAGGAAGAGAAGGCGTCACAACCAGTACTTGAACTTCCCTACATGAGAGGATTATCGGAAAGGGTAAGAAGGATTGGGTCCAAGTATAACATCAGGACCTGCTTCAGATCTGGGAACACTATCCGTAGCAGCCTCACGAAAACCAGGCCACCAAACGCGGACTGCGATTCCAAGAATTGCATTTACCGGATACCCTGCGAGTGCGGAGAATCATACATCGGTAAAACTAAGAGGTCATTGAAAGTTCGCATTGCCGAGCACATGAAATACAGACAGCGAAAAGAAACCAGCAAATCAGCATGTTTGGACTCATCAACATAACATCAAGTGGTCTCAAGCTGAGATCATTCACAAGAAAGAATACTGGTATAGGAGAAAATTCAAGGAAGCCGCATATATGTTGCCCAACAACGCATTTAGCCAAGCTAGGGTAGAGATACGCAACATATGGAAAACGTATAATCAAGCGAAACACGACCAACTCAGCTCCCGCTAAAATCCATGAAGCGGAAAGAGGGGATAAGTGAAAGCACTGGAATAACCTATAAATAGTCTCGTAGGAGTAAGTCTAGTTATCACCCGAAGACGATTGTAGATACTAACAATAGAAACGTCGACGAATATATCATATCCGAAAGTTGTTGTGGTCGAAAGTATTTCTCGAAGCGCTTCGCAATCTTTAATATCAAAAAATTTTAATTGAATCTTGTGTCAAGTTACACTTTCTAACTCCAGAGATATTCTGTGTGAGAGTATTGGGGGAGATTCCCAAAAATTAAAAGATTTTTGTACTCCGTTTCTAATTCAACGCACCTTGCTCCAAATATAAAAACAGAATCATAAAATAGTGTTAATAGACAGAGTACTAGGTATATAACGTTTTTCAACAGATCTATTAAAAATCGAAACTCGACAAAGTGTTATCAAGTGATAATATGAATCGAAAAGTATAGATTATTATTAGATCTGTTAATCATAAACGAATCAATATTTTGTATAAATGATTCAAAACCTTTTTCGTCAATTTCAAATCCATGTTCACAATCCTCTGCACATTTGTATAGTGGACAAATTCGTGTCATGTAATTAGCAGTAGGTATTACGCAAAAATGTTTTCCGTGTTTTTCCCGAGGCCAACAGAGATTACTATAATTTAGGTTTTCCATTATTAAATGGGTGTTTACATTACTAATATTACCGCCTTTTTCTCAATGTACGAGAATCATGTTACTTTAAATTTCTTGAAGAATGTTGAAATCGTTCAATATTTCATTACTTCACAAGCAAATAAATACTCAACCTTACCTTTTTGAACCAGGCACTGATATAAAGGTGGACACTGTGGTTTTCCCTCATCATTTCCACACAAGAAAGGTCGAATAGATTCACTTATACGTAAAGGATCTCCTACAGGACAAATATTTTCCAAACTGCGCCCCCTTTTACCTGAAATGAGAGAAGTATATAACACTTGACAATATAAATCAATCTTCTGCAAAATTATTGTCCTCAGATCTAGAACAAAAAATGGAAGGTGGAACAAAACAGAGTCAACAAACGCCAATTTGGAAAAAAAGCATGTGTCGACAGGGAAAATATGTGCCTACTTTAGGATGTATGTATTAATTTTCCGCAACAAGTATTGTCAACATCTATCAGCCATTTTGGGCGCGCAGTGGTTATTTAACAGTCGTTTAAGTGAGTTGATATGAGTATTTCTATGAAAATGGACAAAATCGAGTATCTAACAGTCATTGAATATTTGTTTTTGAAAGACAATACGCCTACGCAAATCAAATATGAGTTGGATTCTGTGTATACGGACTCTGCATCATCATTTACCATAGTAAAAATTTTGGGCAGCTGAATTTAAACGCGTTGGGTGCCGCGTTTGCTCACGTTAGACTAAAAATGTGTTCGAATGAAAATTTTCAACGCTCTTTTGGTTGGCGCAGTTTAGGCGCAATAAATCCGAGTTTTAGAGCCGATTAATTACTGTAGATGAAACTTGGAAACACCATTATACGCCCGAAATAAAAATTCAGTTTGAACAGTGGACAGTAGCTGGGAATGCGATGGCGACTGTTTTTGAGATATATAGTCATGGGGTTATTTCGGTCGAATATCTTCAAAAAGGAAAGACCTCACAGGAGAATACTACGCATCACCACTTGACAAGCTGAAGGCAGAACTTGCGGAAAAACGGCCACATTTGCAGAAAAAGAAAATCCTGTTTCACCAAGACAAGGCACCATCTCACACCTCAGCGATTGCCATGGCGAAAATCCATGAATTACGGTTTGAACTGCTTGACCATCCGCCTTACTCACCGGATCTAGCCCCAAGCGACTTCTTTTTGTGTCCTCATCTGAAACTTGAGCTCACAGGACGAATCTTTTCGTGTAATGGTGAGGCAATCACCTTCGTGAACAATTATTTTGCAGAGAAAAACTTTGAGTACTTTTTGGATGGGTTACAGAGATGGGAGCATTGCTGGGAGAAGTGTGTAGAGTTAAAAGTAGACTATGTTGAAAAAAAAATCTGAAAAAATGTCTTGTATCTTTGTAAGGTCGGAAACTTTTCAAATCACTCTCGTAATATAAGAATAATAATAACAATAATGATTTTTTTCACCAATATGTACATATGGTAAGTAGATTGAAAACAGAAAGCATACTGTAACACTAATTAGACTTATTAGGAAAAGAACAAGAGACTACACTAAATTTAATGTTCAGGTATTCCTGTCGACTGTAGTAGCAATTATCAATAAGCAAAGATTTAACACCGAATACATGTTCAGATTTCAAATTTTTAACCGACGTTGGCAGTTTATTGTACCGGATGATTCCATTATGATGGAGTGATTTTTTGTATTAAACTGTCCTGTAGGAGGTATTCAAAATTGATCGCCATGACGAGATTAAAAATTGTGAGAGAATCCATTAGTTATGATGTAGGTACGTAGGTGGGCAGGTCTAAAGTGAGTGGGTCTATTCGACCCTCCACCGCAACCCACAAGGGTTTATTGTGGCTCACACCTATTCACACTCGGCCAAATAAACCCAGCTTCTTAACGAAGCCGATTAGTTTGTATGGTGAGTGGTCTTTCAGGTCAGATGGTGACAGTACGGATCTGCCGAACACAAAGAACCTGATTCGGTCCCCAGCGGGGCAGGCACAAAGTATATGCTCTGCTATTTCATCATTTTCCAGACAGAGGCGACACACAGTGTCTTCCGACAGTCCAAGTCTCTGCATATGATGATTCAAATGACAGTGTCCTGTAAGAAGGTCTGTTAGACATCGTGGTTCATTCCTACTGTAGTCCCACAAATGTTTGGAATCAAGCTTCGAAGGGTGAATAAAAGCCTTGGAGTGTGCCCGACGTGGCAGAAAAACCCGAAAAAGCGACACAAAACTTGCTGTCGAAAAAATATGGAGAAGTCTACGACAGAGAAAATGATAAATTACTAAACTGCATGACTGTATGGAGTGGGAAAAAGAAACTCATGTTTTCAAACTGAATGATGAAAACCACNCTATCGAGGAGAGTCATTTTTGGCAGTTTGCTACCAATTTAGACGTTGCCCGGTAGTAGCCAAGAGCTTCCAACGCCACTTGACTGTCCGAGAATAGTTTTATTGACTTGTGAGTGAGATTGGATTCATCCAATCTCTCTGCACACAAATCAATAGCGTAAATTTCCGCTTGAAATACAGTCGCATAAGTTCCTAGGCAGGTAGATAACTCTGTCCTGGGTCTGCGACTGAAAACACCTGCAGCAGAACCGGAAGGTGTTTTTGATCTCTCTGTGAAACAACAAATATCTGTTCTCAATATTTCCTTCTCCTGGAGGATCCAGTCCTCTCTACTCGGGAATAGTACTTTATAAGGCACTTCGTAGTTGACACTTGGAGGCATAAAGTCAGAGGCCATTTCCAATGTCAACCAACAGTCTGTTGCACTCTGCATTGGATTGATTTGTGCAATTAGCATTGTGCACAAGTCTGTATGCAGTCCATCTAGCCTCTCTTTCCAGAAAAATGTGGAGAGGAAGTAGATCTAGAAGGATCTCCGGTGTGGTACTGATGGCACCACTGATAGCCAGACAAGCCTGTCTCTGTAAACCAGAGAGCTTCGCTTGGGTTATTTTCTGTAAAGCCTTCGGCCACCAAGCAATTGCACCATAAGTGATCATTGGTCTGACAATCATCACATAAATCTAATAGATTTGTTTGGGACCTAAACTCCAAGATTTACCACAAATCCTTCGACATGTTCATAGAGACAGTCTGTCTTTGTGTAAAACTTTTTCCAAGTGAACCTTCCAGGTAAATCTTTTATCAAGGACAATGCCAAGATATTTCACCTCCGTTCCAAATGGAATGACCACACCATTGAGGGAAAGTGGCGTTAGATCGTCCAATTTTCTTCTCTTGGTAAAAGGGATTAACACAGTTTTGCTGAGGTTGACAGACATCTGCTCATTCAGGCACCAACTGTGAACAACGTCCAACGCACTTTGGAGGATATTACAAGCTACCCTTCCCGACGTGGACCTTGCCAGGATGACAAGGTCATCTGCATAAGCTTGCAAATCAACTTTTCTTCTGTCGAGGGCATTAGTTGTGAGAGTTGTATGTCCATCGTTAACAAAATTCAAATTCAAATGTTCACTGTTCTTTTTCCTATATACCTAACCTTGAAAAATTCATTCGTGGAAGGATATGTAATGATGCTTATACTTCGATAAAGGTGATAAAGTAAGGGCAGCATTTCTTGTGTTGAGTGGAAGAACATTTCAGTTGAGGTCTTTTTTCCAAATTAAATGAACTCCGCCCTTTCAAAGAAAAAATATTCTATGAATGAAGAACACGTCACTCACAAAATCAACTCTATATTATGTCCTGGGTTCAGATGAAACCCGGGGAGCCAAAGATGTTTCCATGAAGAAGTTCAGTGCAAAACAAGTAAGGAGGCTGCTGCGTGTTTTTTATTCAAAATTTGACATTTGAATTCTGCATTGCATAAAACAAACCACATGCAATTTGCGGTAACGCCGATTACTCAAAGTCCGTTCGTGCGAAGATGGGCATAATAGCGTAATACCAATCGTTATCGTGGGTAAATTACGATATTCCTACCAAGCCTCCTGTCGGAATTTATTACACAAAGGACACGACTCTGTGCTAATTGACTGATGCTCACATAACCTTCTGTCGGTGCGATGATATTTCGATTCAAAATAGATATCTAGTGAAAGTGAAGACTCGCCTGAATTTATTCTAGTCAGCAAGGAGAGAATGCGTTGTTATTAACACTAGGAGTGCCTGACTCACGTTGCAGAGAGCAAGGAAAACAAAGAACGCTTTTGTGGGTTTTTGATTTGCACTTTGCCCATCCTCATTTGAAAGATCACGGACCTGATTGTTTATTCAAGTGTTGCTTGAACTGGCAATTGAAAAGATTTATTTGGTTCGAAGCAAATCATGTTACTTGGTAATAAATGAGAATTGGGGTTTTGAAGGTCCTGCGTGAAGTCGTGAGGTAGCAATAATGTTTCAGCCTAATTGACTTAAATTTGAAGGTTGTGAAGCCTCATGTTTCTTCATTTTTACCATTATTCACAAAGTGTATCATTATAATATATATTCACTACAGTTGTAATCGCGTTTTGGAAACACCATTCTTCGTTGGGGTGTAATATCGAGTTATTTTAAATTTTTTTATGGGTTATAAATACGAAAGTGTAATAATGTAACAAGCGAAATGACATAATAATAATAATAATAATCGCCTTTATTTCTCACATAAATTGTACACTTCATATTTGTGTCCATGGGCTAATAAACAGAAGAAAGGAAGACCTCCACTGAAATGTTCTTCCACTTAACCCTAAAAAAACTGCTTCACGGTTATCAACCTTATCGAAGTATTAGTATCATAACACATCTTTTCGTGAATGAATATAAAAAAAAATAACGAAAACAGAAAAAAAGTTAAGATTGACCAAAAAAGCATCATCTTTCATAGATGATTCAAGAAATATTGTTGAGTTACTGCTGATAATGAAACGAGATCAACGGAGAATACTTTCCAAAGTCACAATCTGTAAGCCAGTCTTTTGACTTGTCCATTTATTGCAAGCCTCCGGAAAACACTGCGACCTCGTGGACTCATTGTGTTTCCGCTATTTTTTTCATAACAACCAGTCCAATAATCTAGTTCCCTGTACCAGTTTCTACAGGTCCTTTGCTGTCTTTAACCCTTTGTTTTATTGTCTGCAACTGATGCCTTCGTTGTTCAGGCCCATTTTGTTCAGGTGTCTTAACGGATAATGTCTAGGGAGTAGCTATGCAATTATTATGAGCCGATCCCTGCTTTGTTAGTTTTTCAGTTCTCTTCTTGGCGGTCACTTTATAAAGGTTTTCTCATGTGTGTTCCTGGTTCTGTCGTACATTCAATATGGTTCCGCACCAAAGATTTTGGTATCTCCATCCAGAGCCTACATCTGGAGTTCCATGTCTGGCATATTGATCAGATTTCAAATGCCTTGTCATGCCTGAGTGTCCCGGTATCCAATATAAAATCAATTTAGTCCTGTCCTCCAGGTTGCTCAATTCTTCACGACATTCCCAGATCAGTTTTGATGTAACTTTTGGATTCATCAGTACCTGAAGTGCAGCTGATGGTTATCTGTGAAAATATTGATCCGCTTATCTCGTTGGAACCTTAAATTATTGTTCCTTGCGTATTGCAAGATTGCATACATTTCAGCCTGGAAGGACGACGCGTATTGAGCAAAGGATAATTGAACTATCACATGTTTGACGTAGGCCAGTAATGAAGGGCATTAAAAGCCTTCAATGAAGAACTAAAATCCATTAAGGTAACAGCAAAAATATATTAAGGACATTTCTTATGACTTGATCAAACCTCCTGAATTAACAGTAAACGGTTTGCTTTCATCAACTCTCTGCTTCATTACACAAAATGTATGGTATTAATTTGATGGCGCACCATAACACACCATACTGTTGCACCATAACACACCATACTGTTACTGTAAAGCAGTTCATCAATCAAATGTTCAGAGGTAAAGTATAGGACGAGACTAGGAGTAGTATTGGCCATTCCGCTCGCCCGATTCAATGCCGTTCAACTTTTTCTGATGTATGACAGATAACGAATGATAGTGATTATTGTGTTCATGTTATCATTGGTATAATTGAACGTAAAACTAACATCAAAGATAAATTTCATGTATAGTTAGTCTTTTGATAAAAACCCTATACGTTACAGACTTCAATGGAGTCGATTTTCGAAAAGAATATTTCATTATCAAACAAACTCACATGTTGGAATGGGAGGACATGGTGGATCAGCACACGCAAGGTCCTCCAGGTGGCATTCTAGAGCTTTAGGACAATTGATTTCGTCACAAGGATTGCGGCAACGACACAAAGGGCATCCTTCTTCAGTGAGAGCAAATCCATGCGGACAGAACATTCGGCAAGTGTGGTCCGCACATGGTTTCGGAGCTGAAATAAAACAAATGTTATATTTGGGCAAATATCAATTGGCTTATCGCTGAGTGCCTCTTGTTTTATGATACATAATTAACGAATTATTCAAATACAAGTTGTAGTAGCAACATGTGTAATCTCTCAAATGTATAAAAACCCTCAGAGTTTGGTGCACAATTAATATTTTTTTGAAGTAATTATTTGTTTTCTTTAGAATCTTAGGATACCACCATTGACTTTCAGGGGAGAAAATCAAACCAAAATAAAGATTCAATCACTAAAACGTGAAACTGCGGCTACACTGAGAAAAATCCCTTCAGGTAAACAATTTTGCTGAAAAAAATTGTTTGTTCCAAACTAAAATTCATGTGTCACTAATGAATGAGCGAAAAATATTAGTTAAAATAGTTCCTTCTATAATAATTACGCCAAGTGGTGAGTTTTCCTAGTCGCTTGTGTATTCGAATCAATGAATTCGTAGCAATTAAACTGGATGGCTACCCCTGGCAAACTTATTCTTCTATTTTATTACAGCAACTAATTTCATTTTGACTAAGTTATATGAAATTGATTGCGAGAATTGAACCATTCCTGCGGTTTTGTTTCAGTTCTATATTTTCAGTCAGGGCGTTAGAACACACTATCAGAACAGTTCTGTGACAGTTCTCACAAATGAATAACCAAAACAAAAAAGTTCATGACTCCGTAGTAGGGGGAGTTGTCATTTATTTTTTCTCGTTTGTTTCATCTGTAGCTATAATTTCGAATATTGAAATTGTAGATGCAATGAGTATTAGGAATGAGGTTATGTTCACAAAAAAGGTTGAACATTTGTATGAAATACAAATATGTAGCCAATCCCTTCTCGAATCTCCGAACTGATAATAACCGTTCTGGAATAGATCCGAATCTGTTTTGAAAAAACAAAACACTTTGGTAACGATAACAGAACTGTTCTGATTGAACCAAAACAAATTCTAATAACTGTGCATGATTGAACTGTTTCGAAAATGGAACAAAAACAAATCTGATCAGAAACTTATTCGTAGATACATTTAGGGAGTGCGGAGGAAATGTTTCAGCTTTCTACTTCTCAATACTGCCTGCACATTTAAAAAAGAACTAAAGAATTGCTTAAAAAAATCAGGGATCGGATCAGGATGAATAAAGGACTATTCAATGGTTACTGTTTCTTTAGGGAATATCCGAATAAAATAGGAATGTATAACGGAGTTCTTAGCTGCAATGAAAACGTGTGGTTTATATACTAGAGGTATATATAGTGAGGTATACTATATACTGGATTACAGCAAGCAGTTTGTGTACAACCCAAATTTGGTCCGAGTATATGATAAAGATTCAACAAAAGACCAGTACAAACTAGTATAAGGTACAAGGAAATGGTGTTACAAAAAGATAAGAGAAAAAAAAAACAAAAACACATTGGGTTGTAGTATTTTCCAGAGACTTCAAATTCAGATTTTTGTTATATCCATCTTGGCACTGAAAAACATTTTCATTCTAGATCATGATTTACCTACATATTTATTTAAAAATTACACAAAACCATTTCTGATCTATGTATTTATACAGTGAACTGGCAAATCCACTGTATCAGAAGTTGAACTAATCCCACCAATATAAAAAAAAAACGAAAGATTATTTTTAGATATAACTATTCATGTGCATTTGTCAACAGGTGGCAAAACGTGACCTATTGAAATTTGAACACGTGATAAGGTATGTTTTACCACGTGCTATATTCGCGATGTTTTTCAAGAGTAATTATTGATTGTGGAGATAAGAGTTGTAACTGAAACTGAAAGATTACTAACTCTGATTTTGCAACTGACAACATCAGATATAAATACTTTCGCTTTATACCTTACAAGCAGGTATATTATTCAATTTTGTCAGTTTGAGGAAATTCATATCAATCTATTGATCATCTCATTAAAGTCATCAAAACATTGATTTGATTTCTTCGGTTTGTTAATTTCATTATTGGCATTATTTGCAATTATAAGTAATTACACGCACAATCTAATCAGCTCAACATAAATATTTTAATTTTCTGCAACTTTTTCATTTACGTAAGATGTTTATTAGTGTTTAGTTCAATGGAATGAAACTAGTTATTTTCGATTAGGAATGTGGCGTTTTTTTGTGACCAGTATTACATGGTCAACGGGCAGGGATTTGAATTTTGTTTATACATCAATCATTAATAATGTCAATACCAATCATTTTTGTAAAAGTAATTAATTCATTGATATAGCGTTTTCTCCAGATAATTAATATGTAATTAGAAGAAAAGAATGTATTTATTCTTCATCAAACATGAAACAACATTTATGATGAGAATAATTCATCATTCTCTGGTGAACGGAAAGTTGAGCAACAAACGGAAATATTCTATATTGTTGAGAACAGTAGAATCTTCTACGCGCTTCGAGTCTAAACTAGAACCTTCGTTATCGATATAAAAGGAGCGCGACGTGATTCTGTTGAGTCGAGTAATCGAAGCGATATGATCGGAGAAGGATTCTACTTGTATTGCGAAGTAGTGATTGTGAAGTCTAGTGATTGTGAAGGTATTGTGGATTTGTTTGTGTCGTGCGCGTGCGATATCCATAATTGTTGTGTCGAGTTCCATAATTTTTACGATTTTAGCATAATGTCATTTGAAATCATTTGGCACAGTGAATTAAAAAAATGAATCAATATTTTCAACTATTCTATTTCTATTTTTTGTGTTTTCAACCCCATCGAGTTGATTTGGGAAAAATTGAAACAAATCATCAGGCGTAAAAATAATTTTCCAAAATTTGATAAGAAGGTAATAGAGTTAGTTAAAGAAGAAGTATATAATATTACCGAAGAAGACTGGCAGAAAATGATTAAAAAAGTAATTTTAGTTGAAAAAGACTATATGGATATTGGTCACTTCCATATTAATGGTGGAAATAAATTCATTATTGATTTGAATGACGACAGTGATAGTGAAACAGAGAATATGGAAGAGGGATTATCAGAAGCTCAAAGAGCAGCCTAGAAGAGCATCAGTAAGTGATATTTCCAAGCATGCGTATTCCAATATTAGACGGATAATTTACGACTTTCATAAGACGGAAGGGTATTAAGGTAAAAATGTTCCAACACAAATTTAGTGACGTTTTGGAAATTGTGGCTTCCGAAACATCTCTTCGTAAAATTTTTAAGAAAATAGGTTTTAGATAGAGAAGGACTGAAAATAACAGAAAAATTTTAATAGAGAAAATGGACATTAGAGTATTAAGGATTAAGTATTTACAAAAAATCAATTATTTTCGTAGCCAACAGTGACCAATTGTGTTTCTTGATGAAACATACCTTCATAGTGGACATACATCTTCCAATAACTGGACGGATGAATCAGTTAAAGGATGCGAAGGGACCAAGACTCATTATTGTCCATGCAGGAGGGGACATGGGGTTTATACCTATTTGTCGGCTTATATTTAAATCAGGCACAACATCAGGAAATTATCATTCAGAAATGAAATCTGAAAATTATGGTAAATGGTTACAAGAAAAGTTAATCCCAAATTTACCTGTGAATTCGGTAGTCGTAACCGATAATGCTTCATACCATAATATTCAAATTAATCAAGTCCCCCAACTCAAATTCCAGAAAGGCTGACGTGGTGAAGTGACTGCACGAAAAAAGCATTATGTTCACCCCTAACATGTTCAAACCCGAATTATAGGGGTTGATCGAGGTAAATAAAATGCATCATATTAGATAAAAATTTGATGAGGTTCTACTTGAACACGGACATAAAGTTTTGCGACTTCCACCCTTCCATCCGGATTTTAATCCCATTGAACTCATTTGGGTTAGTGTCAAAAACAACGTGTCCCAAAAGAATGCAACTTTCAAGTTGGAAGATGTGAGGAAACTGGCGGAACACGAGTTCATTTTAATGAACTGTACTACTACCTATTATACTAAATAAAATATGTGAAAATAAATTACAAAGAAGTCATGTTCTATTTGCTACCCTAAAACTAGTTATAGGTACGACACTGGCCGGTAAGGGGCTTATCGTAATCCAATAGTAATTAAGTTGGGGGAGGGTCTATACATGCGCGATCGCTCGCCATCAGCCGTGGCGTGTACTGAATAGAGATGGCACTGAACAGTTAAATTTGAAGAACTTGTTCGAACTGTTCCAGTTCTTATCGAAAACCTGTTCTTTTTAACTGTTCATGTTCATCTATTCTTAAATGACGTCTCATCTTGCGTCATGGTCACATTTTAGCGTTCGGTTCCGAGTGGTTCCGAATTTCCGTACATTCCCTCCATTCGTCTTGTTGTTCTAGAGTTTTATTTCAGTAACAGGCTGAATTTTAGTGTAAAATAAATGAAAAATTAAACCCTATTTGGATTTTTTTTCAATCATAGAGAAACAACTGCAACTAGCAACATGTGAAATTTGCAAGCAGGTTATTTCCTTCAAATCTTCCGTGACTAATTTAAAGCGTCATATGCTTAGAAAACACCCCACGGTGAAAATTCTACCCACTAGAAAAACAGTGAAAACCCACGTTGAGGAGAATTCACAGAGACAGGGACCTACGATTTTGCAACAGGTAGGTATTTAATTAATTCGTTTTGCATGTTCAAAATTTCATGGAACACGTTTATGACTTGTCAGTGCTCAGTGCAGTCGAGAGCATAGGTCACAGAGCGGTTCCGTCATCCAGTTCCAGCACCAACCTGCGCAAGCGTCTTTGGAATAGCCACTCATCGTCTGAACAAGTTCAGTTCAATGAAAAGAACAGGTTCATTGAACAGTTGACTGATACCTGTTCCGAAAAACCAGTTCGGTTCTTTTGAGCCCATCTCTAGTACTGAAGTTGTTTTCCGGTAGGCATGAACCAGAACCTGTAGATATGTGGAGAGAGATGAGCGTTTCGAGATTTAATTTCGAAATATTTATTTTCTTATCTAGGATTTATTGTAAAATGTA